CAAAGTACAAGAGACTGTCCCTGTTCCCATTGCAGGGACTCCCACATATAGACGAAGCTACACATCTGTCACATATATGCAGAAGGCTTATGTTGGTCCCATGTAGGCTCCCTGGTTGTTGGTTCAGACTCTGTGAGTCCCCATGAGCCAGGCTATGATTTCTGTGGGTTTTCCTGTGATGTTTTGGACCCCCCCCCCAGTTTCCTACAACCCCTTCTCCATCTCAGCAGAGCTCCCTGAGCTGAACCAGTGTTTGGCCGTGGGTCTCTGAATCTGCCTCCATCAGTCACTGGATGAAGGCTCTCCGATGACAACTGGGGTAGTCACCAATCCAATCACAGGGGTTGTCCAGTTCAGGCTATGCATCTACTGCTGTCAGGAGTCTTAGCTAGGGCCATCCTTGTAGATTCATGGATGTTTCCCTTGCATCAGGCTTCTACCCAACTCTGTAAAGCCCCCCACCTTTCCAGTCATCTCTCTCATTACTGTCCCCTTTGCCCACCCCCTAGCATGATCCCTCAAGTTCCCATGCCCACCCTCCCCCAGCCCAACCAGGAGATACCTTTTATTTCTTCTTCCCAGGGAGATCCATGGTCTTACCTTGGGCCCTCCTATTATCTAACCTCTATGGGTCAATGGATTGCAGCATGGTTATCCATTACTTTACAATTATAGGAAAAGATCTTCATCAACCCCACATCCAACAAAGGGTTGATCTCTAAAATATATAAAGAACTCAAGAAATTAGACAATAAGGAACAAAATAATCCAATTAAAAATGGGGTACTGACCTAAACAGAGAATTCTCAACAGAAGAATACTCCCATTGTGTAAATGTACTACATTTTCTTCATCCATTCCTCAGTTGAGGGACATCTAGGTTTTTTCCAGGTTCTGGCTATTGTGAATAATGCTTCTATGAACATAGCTGAGCAAGTGTCCTTGTGGTATGATTGAGCATCCTTTGGGTATATGCTCCAGAGTGGTATAGCTGGGTCTTGAGGTAGATCCATTTCCAATTTTCTGAGAAACCATCATACTGATTTCCAAAGTGGCTGTACAAGTTTGCACTCTGACCAGCAATTGAGGAAGGTTCCCTTTGCTCCACATCCTGGTCAGAATTAGCTGTCATCTGTGGTTTTGATCTTATCCATTCTGACAGGCATAAGATGAAATCTCAGAGTTGTTTTGATTTGCATTTCTCTGATGGCTAAGGATGTTAAACATTTCTTTAGGTGTTTCTCTGCCATTTGAGATTTTTGTGTTGAGAATTCTCTAATTATATCTGTACCCCATTTTTAAATTGTGTTATTTGCTTTTTGATGTCTAGTTTCTTCAGTTCTTTGTATGTTTTGGAAATCAACCCTCTGTCAGATGTGGGGTTGGTGAAAATCTTTTCCTATTCCGTAGGCTGCCATTTCGTCCTGTTGACAGTGTCCTTTGCCTTGCAGAAGCTCTTCAGTTTTGCTATGGAGTTTTGTGTGTGTGCTATTGGTGTTCTATCCTGGAAGTTGTCTCCTGTGCCAATGTATTCTAAGCTATTTCCTACTTTCTCTTCCAAGAGGTTCAGTGTAACTTGATTTACATTGATGTTTTTGATCACTTGGACCTGAGTTTTGGCATTGGTTTTTGATTGTTTGTTTGTTTGTTTGCTGACTTGTTTTTGAGTTTCACTATGTAGCACTGGCTGGTCTAGAACTTGCTATGTAGACCAGGTGCTGGCTTCAAATTCAGGAATCTGCCTGCCTCTGCCTCCTGGATGTTTGAATTATTTTTCAGTTTATATTAAAGACAAGAGTTACTTCTTTTCTTCCTTTCTTCGTTTGTGATACTACAATTAAATTTAGTACCCCATACATGCTAAGCAGGCACTGTACTAATGAACTATGTAGCCAACCTAGTTACTTTTATTTAAGAACTAATTTGGCCAGTCATATGCCTGGAAACCACCTCTTTGGAAATAAAGGCAGGAGAATTAGAAGTTCAAGGCCTGTCTAATATTGTGTAATGAGACTCTGTCTTACAAAACCAAGGGCTGGAATGTAGCCCACTGGTAAAGCACTTATATAGCGTGGAAAGTGCTGGGTTAGAGCATCAGGATCACAACATTTTAGAAAATAAAAGATGACTTTGAACCCCTCTAAAGTTATTTTATTTCATTTACTTGTAAGTTTTTGGTACTGTGTTTACATATATTTTAAGCTTTACAGTCGGAAACATACATTCATAAAAGCTTATGGGCATGTCTATTCCTCAGCACAAAATCTTTTAGAATTATTGCTTTATTCATTTTTACTAAAATATTCTTCCAAAAATTAATAAATGCTGATATTGCATTCTCTCCCACACAGCTTTTTTCTCTTTATGAAGATGAATGAAGAGCCTATAACTCATTCTACCCTAAATGTGAACTCCCAACAGAAGTGCAAAGCAAAGAACAATATTAAGAATACATTTCATTCAACTGAATTGTCATTCATTGAGCAGAGGCAAAAATACCAAAAACGTAGTAAGAAGCATGAAAACACAGCAGAAGACATCTCTGGTGAAGGTATGATATTGTATTTTATGAATAAGGAGAGATTGTTGAAAAATTAAGGTTAAGATTAAGGTTTGTTAAGTACTAGTGAGATACAAAAAGTGGCAAAAAGGTTTCTTCCTGAATTTAGTTAGAAATATGTGGAGACCTACAAAGGCTTCCTAGTGAGATCTGAGCTTGCTTGACCCAGCAGGGCTGGATTAGAGGTTTGCTTGACCACGTGCATGGTTACAAGGTGATTGAAAGTGTCTACATTTGGCTGAGCTAGGGGGAGATCTTTTGCTCCACCCCTTGGCATTCCTATAAATAGAAGAGACAGGAGGGGCTGGTGGATAGTGATCCAGGCCCTCCCGAGCCTATCCTGAGTTTCTATCTGTTTCTCTCCCCTCTATCCCTCTAATATCTCTTATCTCTCTCTCCTCAAGAGTACCCCATTGGAAAATGTGAGAGCTGATCTCCCAGCTGGGTTCCCACAGAAATACATAAGTTAAAATGAAGTATCACTTTAATCTATATCACAAGAAAGACCAAGTGGTCAATACCATAACAATTTAAAGAGTAATATGGATAGTTTAGACATTTCACTAAGTGAGAGCTGTTTGAGCCTTGAATGGAAAAATCAACTTTTGACAAGTGAAAAAGGTTGGAACTGAATTCTCTGGCTACAACGTTTTAGGAACTAAAGTGTAAAATAATTACAGGGTGTAGCTCTCCAGGGCACTGGGTTTGGGAGTCTTGTTCTAGGTACTGAGAATTTAGTTGAGCTGGTGGGTTTCTGGACAAGGGTAATGTGTAGTGGAGACTCGAGTTTTTATTCTCATTATATCCTGAAACAAACAAAAGATGAATGTATTTCCTTCAGACTTGGAATTCCAAACAAGTTGGATATCAACAAAGATAAATTTTTGTTAAGGTTTCTTGTAGTTAATGTAGTTATAGGTTGTGGAATTTTCCTCTGATTTTCACAGGCTTGTCTTTTCCAGACCTAAATATCTGGAAGATCCAAGGTTAGATAAAAGAAGGGAGTTTAGGAATTTGCAGAAGCAATTCACAGATTCATACACACACACACACACACACACACACACACACACACACACACACATATATATATTCTAATACATATATCTGAGCTTGAGTGGCTAAGTGCTGGGAACCATAATGCCCCCTTCATTCAGTCCTACCTTATTTCTTTAAAGACAGGGATATTCCCAGTGAAGGATACTGTTAAAGCAGAGAAAGTAGAATGTGAATTAAGTTTTGCATAGCAATTCAGGTAATCTGAAAACTAAGCCCCAAATGAAAAGAAAACAAAAGCCCATTGCAATGAAGCATAAGCCTCTGACATTTGCTTCTATAGAACGTTCACTTGGAGTCTGTTGATTTTTGTTGATTTTTCCTAACGGGAAATTGCATCCAGTCAGCAGTTAGTATTTGGAATAGAATATTGGCAGCAAAGCAAAACAAAACAAAAGAATAGATGTGGGAAGCTGACCAAGAGTAAGAGGGCACTGAAGTATGGCACTGCAGATCAAGGTGAGGTTAGAGTCTGTCATGGATGTAAATTGGCCCCAAGCCATTTGCCTGCAGAGAGAAGGTAGAATCCATGGTTAGCCTGTGCTAACCAGCCAGGTAAAGTGGGAAATGCTGGCAGTGGGGCCACCCCTCATTCTGAGCTCCATTACTAAGTCTCATTTTTGCACTGTCAACCATGACATATGTTCATTAGATTAAAGAAAAGAGTCATGAAATATGGAAGGGAAAAAGACTGATCAAATGATGCTCCTCTGGCTTCCCAATTCAGGATGCAATCACCTTTACAGGGAAGAATTCAGAGCTAGACCAATCTTTTCCCATTTAGGTTTCAAATTGTATTCTTTTTTAGTTCTCCCCATACAACCTCTTTAGGATTAAGAGGGTGATAGAGAGTAGGGTTTGGAGACCAAATATAGGAATTACAGGCTCAGTTCTATTAATTGATTATTTCAGCCATAAATGCTACATAAAAAGCTTTTTACTTCAGTTCCTGTATTATACAAACTGTGAATTATTCACTGATATTTTTGGCTTATTTTTCAACTGTGGTATTTGTGTTTCCTACACTGACTACTGAACTCTGTTTTAAATTAAGGACATTGAAACTAGTTCCATGGAATATCTCAGGCACATTAGTTTGTCCTGTGATCTTTAGTAAGTACATATATTTCTGTTGTTCAGGAATTTTTGCTAACATGTCATTATTTGCTTTAACCCTTGGGTGAAAAATATTTAACAGACTTGCTATGAGAATCAGAAGTAAATGAGCATTGGGATGCTCTTATGATGAAAGCAGCCCATGGCACAACCCTGTCTGTTCCATCACCTCACTCCCACTGCCAGCTGCTTTTGATCTCTCTTTGGTTTCTCTTTCTCAGAGAATTTCTCACCTTCTCCATGGAGGCTCATCTCTAGTGTGCTTGGTGCCATATGCCTTCTCCTGATGGCTGTAGCCATAGCAGTGAGCGTTTCCACGACACACTGTGAGTGTTCCGAGTGCTTCTCCCTTTTCTCCTTTGGGGCAGACTTGCAGCAACTTACCAAAGTTCCTCCTTACCTGTGGGCACAGCTGGAGTGCTTGTCTGCTATGTGTGAGATATTGGGTTGGCTCCTGAGTACCATCACTAGAAAACAGCAACCAAAATAAAACAAGACTTCCTTTTAAACATTTTCTCTAGCATTGCTTATCATTATTCTAGAACAGAGGTTTTTATTAAGTTTGTTGATGTGTCAAAATAAAAGAAAGATCCAGGCGGTCACGGTGCATGCCTTTAATGCCAGCACTTGGGAGGCAGAGGCAGGTGGATCTCTGTGAGTTCAAGGCCAGCCTGGTTTAAAGCTGGTCTACAGTTGCAGGACAGGCCCCAAAGGGACTCAGAGAAACCCTGTATATAAAAAACTGAAAATAAAATAAAATAAAATAAAATAAAGCACTAATTATTATGTGGACATTTTTGTAGTATCTTCTGAAAGAACATGTTCCATGATCCAGCAAAGAGGTAAGTGCTTGTTTCCTAGCCTTTGTGGGCAGATTCAATCAGGAAAACAATTTCATTGTCTGTATTAACTCCATGAATAGTAGACAGTCTTCAAAAGCAAGATACTTCAGCATAACTAAGAAAAGATTTGACATGGTCCCAGAAATTTAACAACTAACATTAATATGGAACAGAGGTTTTTGTATAACAAACTGTAACAAAATATTTCTATTGTTGTATACAATAGATGCTATTTTGTATGCTCTGTATACAGCATAAACAATCTTGCAAGATTCCGTGGTTTTGTGTGGGAATAGGATTAATGTGAGAACAAATTTTGAAAGAGCAACTTCTCAACAAAAAGCAGAATCCAATGATTATGTAAAGGGGTGTTTCCACTCCAAGTGCAGTAGACTTAGGCAAACTAACAGTTCAGCAATGAGGATGGATAGGCCTCAGCAGATGTATGTTCTATGAAGTAGAAAAGGTCTGAAAGTTCAGATAAAAATAGAGCCAAAAATATGTGTTTCCATTTCACAGATTTATTACAACCATTTTAGTTGTCTTTATAGAATATTGTTACAGTATATTAAGTGTGCATGCTCTGTGTTTTAAACAAGTGAAAAGCAACATCAGAGTCTATGACCTCTTCAGTAGAGTGACAGACACTCCTTCCCTAGGACCTCATTATCCCTGTCCAGAGAACTGGGTCTGGTTCAGATGCAATTGTTATTACTTCTCCAAGGAAATGCTAAGTTGGAGAGAGAGTCAGCGTGCCTGCTTGTCTCTCAATTCCACTCTCATAAGGATAAGCAAAGAGGAGATGGTAAGTTGCTGCAAATGTGAGTCACAAGGTATGAGATCCCCAAAGGGATTAACTGGGTTAAACTGACTACCAGTCACACTTGCTTAAATTTAGCACTAGATCAATGGCTGAAGGATGAAACTGTTTTATCTTTTGTTTCAGTTTTTATGTGCAAAATATAGGGTAGATATATGTATTGTGTGAAAAAGAGAGAGAGAGTAAAATAATATTTGGAATTTCATTCATGAAAAATATATTGAAGCTGGGCCTGGTGGCATCGGCCTGTAATCCCATCTTCTTGGGAATCCAAAGCTAGAGCATTAAATATTCAAGGCTACAGAGTGAGTTGAAAGAAAGCCTGGACAACTTAACAAGCCCCCCCTAAAAAAAAAAAGACTATACGGGGTTGAAGCATGTAACTCAGTGATAAAACAGTTCTCATACATGTAGGGCCTAAAGTTCAATCCTCAGCACTACCAATAAATAAATAGACAGACAGATAGATAGACACGTGTGTAATGAATTCAGAGGGAAACTTGTTTTCAGTAATATCTCAGCCAGAGAGATAGGAAAAACAAAACAAAACAACCCTGCATAGTCCAACACAAAGATGGCACAGGCATCTTGGTCTAGAATACCAAGTGACAATGTAAATAAATTTTTTCTAACTCTGGCAATTATGTCAGCATCAAGTTAAATTGTCTACTGTGTGTTTCCCCAGTAGAGGGTCTCTTCATTATATATATGAAGGTACCAGAGTAAAGTTAGTCTCCAAGAAAACTATGCAGACGCTTTTAAAAATATCCTCATTTTCTTTCATCTCAAACCAACACTATCCTTTTACTCACTTAGTTTTTTTTACTTTTTAATTTATTTTTCTTAACTTTTACTCAATTTGTTTATTTTTGAATCTCCAATGGGAGCAGAAAATTTTTACTTTTCATTGCTGAGGTCTGTCTCATAATACAGCATCATTTAGAGAGGCTGCAGACTTCAGACACAGAATAAATATATACAGAGGGAGTTGACCCTTTCAAAGGCACTTCCATAGCGCTGATGAAAAGATAATGATGGGAATCTTATGTGTTTGTGTTTTCTCACTTTCAGGATTTTTTCAGTTTGAAGTCTTTCTTTTGGGTTGGAATTTACTATGATGAAACTGTGAGAAAGTGGCGGTGGGAAAACCATTCTGTTCTACCCTATGAGATGTAAGTATCCACACTGAATCAGGAGTTTAATTTAGTTATGGTGTGAATGAAGGGTTCTGGGTACAATTTCAGCAGCATTATAGAACTGAGGAGACAGTCTTTTATACCCATCCATGTTCAGAAGAAAGATGCATTACTTTATTCTTTCATCGAGTTTCCACTGAAAATTTTCTTAGGAACTTCTCCAATAAACTAAAGAAACTGTGTGGCATAAACAAAAGGCTTTTTTATTTTCTTTTTATAGTTTCCCAGCTAGAAGTCTTAGCCTAATATGTCAGCAGGTCCGAAGCCCTCCTCAGCTTAGAGCTAGCCCTCCTTTCTCTGTCCTTTCACCAATTCCACTTCTGAAGATGCCAAGTTGCACTGGGGCTCACCCTAAAACCTCATTTTAATTCACTTCTTTCTTAAGGACTCCACCTCCAAACAGATTCTGAACACTGGAGGTAAGGATTTGAGGTAGCATAATAAACACTCTGCACTCTTGCTCCCCTAATGCAAAAGTATTTGCACACTGTTCTAAAAGCACCAAGGAGATCTATTCTATCCCAGCACTAATTTTCAGTTGACTAGAGATCTGACTCACCCCAAGACAAACCTTCTCTCCAGTGTGAATCTGTGGATCCAAGCATGATTTGTCTATGAGATCTGAAAGTGGGACAGACATGTGGCACATTTTCCTCATTCTGGAAAGAAGCAGCAGAAACAAATGCATATTGAACGCCAGGCAAACTAGAAACTTTTGGGGAGGCAAAGCTCACTGGTGTTTGTTTTGCTTTACTTCAACAGTTGCTTTTATTCTCTACTTAACTTTTAAAACACTGCAAGAACTGAGTAACAAAACCAATAGCAAACAGTGTTTATAGTCCTCTGTTTACCCATCACTTCATAAAAAATGCCAGCAGGGGGAGATGCTCCTAGAGCTGAACCTAAACACGTTTCCCTGGCAGATGAACATTATCCTCACGCACTTGTCTTGACACCTTATTTCCTGATTTGAATCCACCACTTCCCCTCCCCATCAGGAAGGAGCTTTCCTAGCAGTTTACCAGAAGAGAGACCAACATTCAGGAAATGATATCATTAACTAGATGATCAGGCAACTCCTATCTGACTGAAGATAAGTTGACATACCTTCATTTAACACAAAGTTCTTTAGTTGTAAGTCTCAAGAACAACCCTCCTTAGTTCAGCATTCTGTCCCCTGGCCTGTCAGACCAATGACTGCATTATATAGGATTAATATCATCTTCAATATGTCATTAATGTCCTCCAGGGCTTTAATATTCCACTCACCATGAGACTAAACACTATAGTGCCTAAGTGTATATTTATACCACTGGAAACTTTTAATTAGGTGAGTTATCCACAGTCTGTTTTGCTCTATTTTTTTAAAATTATGGATCTAATGCAGGGCCCCGATCTTGCCAGCATCATGCTCCCTCACTGAGTTACACCTCTCAGCCCTATTCACAGGCTCATATTTTAAAAAATTTATCATTTTAACCTGACAATAAATTGACATTCCTTTCCCATCGACTCTTTCTTCTTAGTTGAAATATTAATTAATATTTACAATTTCATACTGGTTTGGTAACTTTGCAGTTTACTAACATTTTACCAATATGAATTATGGGTTATGGAAATCACATAGATTGAATTTTTTAAATTTTATATGAAGGGTAACAGTTTTGTAGTCTCATGGGGAGTTGAATGACATGTAATTTCTTGATAACAGTGGAATTTCTTTCATTTTAGGTTTTATGATCTTGATACTAATATGCAATACTTCTGTGCATCTTATAAATCAAAAGGAGCTTATTTGGCTGAAAAATGTACAAATAAATTGGCATATATTTGCAAGAAGTACCATATTTAATTCTACGAGGTCACAGAAGATATGAAAATGAAACATTTCTTATCAAATGTTTTTCCTTGGGTGCTTATTTTCTGGAGAAAACCTTGCAAATGTTTGCCTTTGCTTGAATAAATTCTATTCAAATCCATTCCAGTATCATTCTTTGTCAATGTTTCTGCTAACATATTTATTGCATATTGCATGCATTTTAGAAGACACTATGATAAATGGTTTCTGAATGAAATAATGAGATAAAGCCTATGAGTTCAGGTTAAACCATTCAGGTTAGACACTTAAAAGCTTGACCTATGTAAAGTTCTCTGCTCAACATATTCATCTGTGTGTGTGTGTGTGTGTGTGTGTGTGTGTGTTCCACAAAGTGTCAAAATGTATTGTTAGCTGAAAACAGAGATATTATAGTAAAAAAATGAGTTGTCTGACCACACAAGAGCGATAATTTTAAAAATTTTGGAATTAGCTATCAATACATTGTCCAATTAACTTTACTATCTAATTCTTCAAGACAACCAATTAGGGGCAAAAGTTTAAGTCAGGTTTTCTTGTAATTTGATTTAAAAACTGAAATAGCCAAATTTTCATTTCTTTTCTTTGTATCTTACACAGTTTTTAAAAATACTAGAACTAGATAGTTATTAAGCATTTATTTTAATTCAGCCATTTTAGAAGTTTTGGTGATTGCTGCAATACTGAGGACAACCTGCAGACTTTACTACTAACATTTTGCTCTTTATCTCACTATCACAAATGTATCCATCTCCCCTCTCACTACTGATTCATTGACACATCTTAAAATTTATGGCTTTCAGAATGGTTTCTCTATGTCAAGACAGTTCCCTCATAGTTTTAGAGCATGCTTACCAATGACTAGTTTCATAATCTGTTTACAATTCTTTCTTTGAAGATATATGTATATATATATATATATATATATATATATATATAAACTCACAAATCTTAACATAGTACTCAATGATTCTGTAACTACTGGTCAAATACATAATATTATGAAATCCTTAAATAAGTCCATTTCAGTAAATCCCTAACCATTTCCCAGAGCAAATTGCTGCTCTATTTCTTTGCAGTATCTAACTAAGCCTTTCCTTTTCTTTGTAAAAAAAATATTGATAAACATAGCATGTACTCCCCTATATAAAACATGTTCCCTTAGTGTGATATTTTGAGACTTATTGTTGATAGTGTGTGCAGTGTGCATGTTCAGGCAAAGAGTGATGTCAAGTACTTTTGTTTTCCTAAGCTGGTCCATGTTTTATTTGAGTGGCCATCACAATTCTACCCCTAGGTCAGTATTTTTAAACATATTTTCATCTCTTTTTAAAAAAGATTTTTTATTTATTTATTTATTTATTTATTTATTTATTTATTTATTTATTTATTTATTATGTACACAGAAGAGGGTGCCAGATCTCATTACAGATGGTCGTGAGCCACCATGTGGGTGCTGGGAACTGAACTCAGAACCTCTGGAAGAGTAGTCAGTGCTCTTAACCTCTGAGCCATCTCTCCAGCCCCATATTTTCATCTCTTGCCTCTGAAAAATCTGAACCTTAAAACAGCTTTTGCCCCCAAAATTTTAAATAAATAACATCACATTTATATTTGCACAATATACTTTACTAAAGTTGAGTTCTAATTCCTTAAAGAGATGGTGAGAGAATATTGTGTGTAAAAGAGCAATCATTGGCTATTTTATCTTGATTTTACTTTATTTCCTGACTTTGTTGTCAAAACTGTACCTCAACTGAGATATGCTCCTTGTAATCCTGAATGAGAATACCATTTCCATATTGAAAACACATTTGGTCTAATTTTTACACCATAGATGCATATAGCATTTCAGGGTACTTATGATGTAGAAAATTATTGTCAATTAGTAATAAAATGATGAGATACTGGAAAGCGTTAAAAAACTGAAGACAAAAGTTCTACTTGCAAAATAAGTTCTTAATCTAAGATTGTGCTCATGCTAAATTATCAGAGTGGAACAGCCACATGGCTGACTGCTAAACTTGGGTTGATTAGACTACATTATGAAGTTCACATTAATGGTCTTTGCCCGGTGTCAGCTTTCTTTTCATCTGAGCTGAAAAGCTTTTATAAAACCCTTTCTGGACTTTTCCTGTTTCAATTCTGGTGACAGGAATTCAATGAGGACCAGGAGAAGAAGATGAAGAACTTCCCTCACCTTGAGTTCAATGTTTCCATATTTGTTTTTAAATCAGTGGCAGTATGACACTTTTCATCAGAGCATTAATTTAACTCTTTTTACTGCCGTGGGCTTGTCTCTGATGTCAGGAGCTATGATAAGCATCCTATAGTTGTGCATGGAATTCTTTCAAGTCTTTCTCCACCCATTGCCTATTTATTATTTCCATGCACAGGTCATTCCACCTGAGTTCTCTAGTAGAAGACAGTTAAAGGATACCATGGAAACAGTGAGTGGTATTTACAGTCCACTCAATGTTTCATGTTCTTTGGATTATCTTTGTGGTTGACATTTATTTTTACCTTCCTTTTATATAGTAAATATTGTCATGGGCTCAAATTTAATGTTATTTCCTGTGGCCATGCTTTGCTAGAATCACACCAATGTTGCAGTTACAAAGATAACGATCAACCACAGCTACACTTGCAAAACCTCTCTTTTGCCCCGTCTTTCTTCCCTCCTGTATCTTCTGCTACTTGGTCAGTGGCAATGCTTCAACTCCAAAGCCTTTTGCAATAGCCTCTTATTTTTAGGATATAGCATTCCCCCTGTCAATCACCCTCTACTTCTCTCCTAGACCACATGGTCACATCAAGGCTCAGGTAAGCAAGAACTGTTATTTTAGGTGGTAGTACTTCTATGATTGGAAATATTCAGCAGTGTACAGTGAGATGTGTCAGGCTTGCCTTTTATGCTCATGGAGTATACTGAGTTATTGACTCAAGTCAGATCCAAACAGTGGCCAGGCTCATATCACAATTCAGAGAGGTCCTTTAAAAGCTTATCTCCAGGCATGGAGAGATGGTTCAGGAGTTAAGAATGCTTGCTGCTCTTCTAGAGGACCTGAGCTCAGTGCCTAGCACTCAAGTCTGGTGGATCACATGACTATTATCCCAGCCCCAGGGGAATACACACCTCTGTTTCACAAACAACTGTTTTCAGGTGGACATACCCACATAGACACAGACACAGACACAGACATAGTCAAACACACACACACACACACACACACACACACACACACAGACACACACACACACAGACACACACACACACACACGTTTTTTAAAAATAATAAAATTAAATCCTTTCAAAGAGTTAGTCTCCAAACTCTTTGTAGTCAATGATAAATGGCCATTGTCTTGAACTCAGGCAAGCTAGCATATGCCTGGAATTTCAGCACTTGGGAGGTTGAGACAGGAGAATTACCTCAATTTCATGCTCCTCTGGACTTCATAGTAAGCTTCAGGAAAGCTTGATGAATAGTGAAAAAAGAAAAAAATAACACGTAAATTGTTTGACACTCACTTCCCAAGTGAAAGCTTAGTGTCCAAAGACTGTACGCTGAGCCCTTTAGATGGCCTTACTGATTCCTAGTCTTCTGTCTGGATACTCATGTGCCTTTTGTTCTTAGTTACGGAATCCTTATATTTGTCACAATCCCTCTTCTTTTTGTCCAGGTTTCCTTGGCAGACAGTTACCTAGAGAATAACAAGGTAGACATTTTGCTAAAACAAACAAACAAACAAACAAACAAGAAAGAGAATCAGTGATATCTCACTGATAATCCGTGGAAGTACTTAAGCTTTGGATGTCAAGAACTGACCAATCAGTCAACCTTGCTGTGATATTTCAGAATGATGACCCGAAGACCCACCCAAACTCACCACAGTTAAACTATTTTCAGCTACCCAGGAGGTGAGGAGCCATAGCTGCAGCTCTCTGAGGAAGTTCTTACATTTGCTCAGACGTCCTCTCTAGTGCACTCAAATAATATTTAGAAAAAGCGTACATTAGGGACTAAAATTACAAATCAAGTTGTATATGCTTTTCTACTCTGGCTTTATAAACATCCTTATACCCTAAACAACCAGGAAGAATGTAAACATTTTTGTTTAAAGTATGTTATCATTATGTCATATTCATCTGGACACTTCCGTGAAGATATCACTCCTGTGTAAATAGTCACCTAGACAGGGTTGGGTGCTCAGAAGAAACTTCAGTATCCCGTAATCGCATACTGTCACGTCTTCTCATCCAGGGTGAGTAAACTGCCTGAACAAAGGTGAAGGTTGCTGCTTTGACATACTTCTTAGTTCTTTGTGAGAAGTGTGTCTCTCGGTACTGTTAATTCAGTGTGAATACAGAAATGTGGTAGTGTACTTTGCAATATCTCTAGTGAATAACCATGACTAAATCTGCAACCTAGCTTGAAACTGTAAAATGATATTTTTGCATTTGTTAGGAAAAAGACAGGATTGAGTACCCAAAGTATAACTTCAAAATTATTAGACAGCATATCAGAGGTCAAGTAAAACATGGTGTTAAATTAGAACGGCAAGCATTTATACTCTGTCAAACACTTCCTCATCTGGATGGGAGGTACTGGGTGGCTGTTTCTAAAGGACCTTAAAGAAATCCACAGAAAGCTGATGAGAGAACGGTCTTAGTAAATTCTTAGCAATGTTCTATGGCAGGGATCAATGACAAAAAAGAACTTGGCTGCTTAATTAAAATGATATCAGAATCTTAAGCTCCAGGAAGAAAGTTCAGAGATAGGAGGAATTGCTTTTTGCTGGGTACATTTCTGTGATTCTCTTTACATACAGATACTATTGAGAATAACAATTTTTTCATCAATGAAAGAGTGGAATATCAAAATACTTCATTAAAAAATACATACACTCATATACAAATGCATATATACATATATTGATGTATCCACATACATGTGCATGTATATTCAAATGAGATATATAAGTCAAACTCTAAAATCCGCATATAATGTATTAATTTTTTCCCTATTGAACCAACTATTTTCACAAAAATTGGTAAACACTGGTAAAAAAATTTGTTTATCCTGTTTTTCTATAATAAAGCCATACTTCAGATTAACAAAATATTTAGTAATAACTATTTTGTATAATACCAACAAAGACATTATATGGTCATGATTAAAAATATGTACACTATTTGAACTATGTATGGTTTGTACATATATGCACACAAAGTAATGGATGTTTATGTAACTGGCAAAATCTGAGTAAATTCCTATGGATCCCAACAATGTTAGTTTCCTGGTTTTTGCTTGCATTCTAGCTGTGTAAGATATCAACACTGGGGAAAATGAAGTCCATAGTATAAGTGATTTCCCTATGCTACTGTTGCTAGTCTATATTAAAAAAAAGAAGCTAACAGTATTTTCATTTTCTTGATATCAATATGAGCTAACACCATTTTTCCCATCCTTCCTTTTTCAGACCCTCTGTTGGCTCTCTTTCTAAGGCACAATTCTATTTATTATATTGTTTAATAAAAGACTTATCCCACATCAGAGATAAAAGTTCAAGGGAGTGATTCTTAATCTAAGTTTCATTTTTTACAGACATTACACACATCACACTCGGATGTATATCGCCTTTTGTCGTCTTTCCCCAATGATTATACTTCAGAGTAAACTTTCACAAGTAGATTAGTGAAAGCCTCATGCAGAAACATCAATCCTAACATGAGAAACTAAACAAGGAAACTCAAGGAAGTATCAATGGGGTCAATTTGTTTGCCATGCTGTGTTCTTGTACATCAGCATCTCCTTGAGATGATTGCTGCTGTCCATCTAACTGAAGTTCCAGGGCTGAAAATGGGAATCTCACTCATGACGTTCAAGCCACCCAGAGTTTCTTATCCACTATAGGAAGTTTCTATTTAGTCCATTCAGGTACAAAGCAGAAGGGAGGGGTTTCTGGATCACTTGTACATAGGAGTAAGCTTGCACTGTTTTGTTCCAGGTACATTTTTTAAAAACAGGTAAATTAACTATCGTATCAGAAGTCAAGAGAGAGTCCTAAAACACAGAAAGAGGAAGAGAAGTGACTAGAAGGCTAAAAGGATGGTGAATTCTGAAAATGTTTGTTTCTTGGTTTGTAGGCAAAAGGGGGAATTTTAGACAAAAAAGTCATATGATTCAATAAAATTTATGATTAATAAAAGTGGATAATAACATATTTGAAAAGACACCTATATTTCTGTGAAAAAAAAATGGACTTAGTCATGAATTAAATATATTTACTCAACTTTGTTATTGTTTTCTATTTCAATAAAAATACATTAGCTGAGACTGGCCTTGAACTCTTGATTCTCCCATCTCCACTTCCCATGTGCTGGGAGAACAGGTGTGTGCCATCATACTTGGCAAGAAATCATACTTCATCAAGTTAGAAATTCTAATTTGAAAACTAACATAGCCTCAAGAAAATATCCAATATATAAGGATTTTATCTAGCAAAACCCACTAGAGTTTGTCAGATGTTTCATTATAGTGTTTACTTTACGACAGGCCAGACGTTTTCATTTTCAGGAAGCCTTCACAAAAAAAGACTGCTTTGCAACCTGGTGCACCATGGGAAAATATATCTTTTCAGAAGCAGTGAAATGAAAATCAATCTCTCCTTTGGAATGCTTCTCGCCAAGGCATTCTACAGTGTTAGCTGTACATGCCTAGGTATAGAAAATACTCCACTACTCATATCTTCAATGGGCATTAGCTTCCTTTTCCCAGCTTTTTCATCAAGTTTTAAAGATGTAGATATTAAAATCAACATTTATTCTGAAATAATTCTATGGGAATTACAGAGAAAGGGCAGTGGACAAAAGAGTAGGGGAGGCAGAGGGAGAGAAATGGAACATTTGGAAGAATACATAACTATCTGAAATAGATACAGTAAAGCTCAACATCCTGCTTAGCATTGGTTTGGATGTTTCTGTAAGTTCTGAGAAAAGTTTTGAGTACAAAATTTATTTGGAATATATAAAAAATTGGGGACTATTAACACAGGGAGAAGAAGGCGAACACAATTGTGATTGTTCTTTCTCTTAACCAGTTATTTGGAGTAGGACCCTGCAATGGTTAGCTGATTCTCAGAACTGGGACAAATAAGAGTGTCCACATTTTTGCCTGGAGGCCAGTGTTGCTGACCTGTGTCAGATTCTGAGATACGTCCATAAAGGTCAGCCTGATGATAATTAGTCAGCACTGTGGACTGCCCCGTGTGAGAGCATCAAGATTTCCAGCAGTTCTAAAAGAAATACAATGGAGACCATATATACAGGGGTTCAGACAGTATTTGGCCGGAGTTTATATCAGACATTCAAGCAAGATGACTGTGGCAGATAAACTCGGTTTTGAGTGAAGATGAGTAGGAGGGATGCCATGGTGTGAAAACAATTTAGTTATCTGTGTACAAAAACAGGAACAGATTCAAATGGAGTTTGCAGTTTAGAAGAATTACAGGCAAGTTTAAAAATGTGTGTCTGTGGAGAGATGGAGGGACGGAGGGAGGCAGAGGAGAGGCGGGGGTGGGAAGAGCACAATGGTAGTGACGTTGCTTTCAATTTTTTTCTGAGTTTTATCTGCTGTGGTCAGGTTAATACCTCAGGGAACAGAAACACAGAACAAGACATGGATATTCCAACCAGTCTGTACTAAGAAGGGAAATGTCAACCTAGGAAATGCAAATACAGGTAGGGGTTTGGTTTGAAATAAATTCCCGTGTGCTTTGGAGAAAGACTGGGCATCAAGCTTACGTAGCCTTAGGCAACTTAACGCTATTTGCCCTAGTTTTCTCACTATTGAATTTGGCATCTTCTTGATTAAGCCATCAAAAACAAATATTTTGAAAAATGATATGTGCTTTGAAATTTGTTTAACACAAAATAAATAAGTATTTGTTATTATAGAGGTGGAAATTCTGTGTGGGATTTTATAATACTAAGTGAATTTATCAATTGGTTTGTACATCTTGTCCTTATTTTCTAAACAGATTTTTTAGAGACAACTTTGATGTTCACTCACTGAAAACAAGCCCCCTCCCATCTCCTTCTGCTCTAGTGTTTTGTGACAAAATTACAGAGGGAGTTTCCTGTGCTGTGGTTCCTAGGTCATGTTAGAAGCTTGTGGCCTTACTTCTGTTCATTCTTACTGTGCATCCGTGTATCACCAACAGATTCAAGAGCATCACTGCAACACACGATGTTCCTTCCTCTTCTAATGCTTAATGTCTCCTCCTTAGCTTCCTGCTCAGCTCCGTGATCCACATCATTCTTAAACATAAACACCTCTCCTCTGAATCATCCTTGGAGCATCACTTCTCATGGCAGGTACGTGTGCCCCTGTCATAGCAATGATTAAAATAATAACCGGAAATGATGTCTCACGGATTAAGTAATTTCAGGGCATGCTTTCATAAAAGTAAAACAGAAAGGTCATAATTAGCATTGTATACTTTTAGACTTTCCCTGCTTTAATGTTTTCTGCATTCATTGTTTTCTTGATTCCACATTTTGAAACTTGAACATGGCTTTGTGAAGCTAAACCTTGTTTAA